TGGTAACCATTAAAAGCCCAGAGGTAGCATTTGGACTTTTCAAACTAGTAAGGGAGAGAGAAGAATGAAAAAAAGAAAAAAACCATTAATTTTTAAAAAGGCAAGAAGGTAAGGAGGGAGGCAGAGGAAGATTTATAAAATGGGTCAAATAGAAAGTAACAAGAGAGTAACAGTAAATCCAAATGCATTATTAATCAGAATAGATGTAAATGGACTAAACATTAGAGTCAAAAGACCTCAGCTGTCAGATGGGATTTTTCAGAAATCAGCCATTTATAAGAGACACAGTTATCAACCACATAAAGATAAAAATAGATTGAAAGTGAAAGGATGAAAAAAGATATCCTAGGCAACTAGTATCCACACAGCCAATGTTAAGGCAAAATATTTACAGTAGTTAATAAAGGTCAGTTTATAATGGTAAAAGCTCCCATGAACTAGAGAAATATAAAAATTCTAAGCCTGTCTGTCCCTAATAATATAGTCTTAAAGTATATTAAGCAAAAGTTTGACAGAACCATAAGGAGAAACCAAAGAATCCACAATCATAATGGGAGATTTTAAAACAAATCTCTCAGTAAATATTGGAAAGTGCAGCCAAAAAAAAAAAAAAAATCTGTAATATACAGAAAATCTGAGCAGTGCATGATCTAATGGACATTTATTGAACATTGCATCTAAATTTGCTCACCTTCTTCGTGTACACAGAGAACAGAGAAGAATCCTAGGCTAAAAAGCTGCCCGCAACGAGCATCAAAGGATGGGGGCCTTTCAGCCCACTTTCTCTGACTATAATGCAATTTAGTTAGAAATCAGTAACAAAAACATAACTAGGAAACCCAATATATTTGAAAATAATAATTTTTTAAAACTTCTAAGCACCTCATAGGTCAAAGAGGAAATCATGGTAGAAATTAGAAAATAAATATTACTGCATGAAGGTGAAAACACAATATACCAAAGCCTATGGAATTCCACTAAAATGGTATTAACAGGAAATTTATATAGTTAGAAAAGAATAAAGACTGAGGATTTCTGACCTAAGCATTTAATTTAAGTTATTAAAAAAAACCCATCAGAATAAACATGAAGAAAGTAGAGGGAAAGAAACAAAGATATGAGCAGAAATTAATGAAACAGAAAATAAATATACAATAGAAAGATCAACAAAACTAACAATTGATTCTTTGATAAGTCTTCAACAGATTTATCAAGAAAGATGGGTACAGATGCATCAGAATTTAAAGAGATAATAATAAAATATTATGAAGAGTTTTATGCCAATAAATTTGAAAACTTAAATAAAATGGATAGATTTCTAGTAAAATACAAATTAACAACACCTGCTCAAGAAGAAACAGAAAATCTGAATATTCCTTATCCCTAAAAGAAAATGAATTTGTAGTTTAAAATCTTCTGACAAAAAAAATACAAGGTCCAGTTGGCTTTTTAGATGAATTTTACCAAAGTTTCAAGCAAAGAGATTATTCTAAATTTATTAGAATAAAACATAAAAAATAGAGGGCACTTCCTAACTCTGGTAAAAGACACAACTATAAATTTTTAGAGAACAATATAGGAGCATATCTCCATGGCCTTAAAAAAACAGAAGAATTTCTTAAACAAGACACAAAATGTGCTCCATTATAATGGAGAGGGTCATTGAAAATTCACCTACATTAAAATGGGGAATTTACATTGAAGTGCTATCACTTCAGAAAATATGTCGACATTCCTCATAAATTTGAACATATATATATTCTTTGAACTTGAAATTCCTCTTTTACATGTATTCCCTTAAAAGAGTTGAGTGCATCAGAAGACTTGTATAAGAGTGTGGATAAAAACAGTTTAAATCACTAAAATAAGAAACAATCCAAATGCCCAATTAGAATAACAGACATATAAAGTAGCACAAGCTTGCAGTGGAATATTATACAGCAGTGAAAAGGACCATACCACTGCCACATGCATCCACGTGGGAGAGTCTCAAAAGCTTACTATGGACATAAGCAAATCACAGAAGACTTCATACAGTGTGGTTCCATTTATATAAAGCTCAAAAACAAGCACAACGAAAAAGACATTGGGATGCATGCAGGTCATATTTTGTTGATTCTAAAATACACTTTTTCACACTTTAACCTCTCTAAAATTGGGATGCATCTTACAATCAGTGGTGTCTTGCAATTACATTTAACAGCACCTTTTTCTTTCTTAAACATGAAATAATGATGCATCTCACAATGGTTAGGGGCTTAGGTTCAATGAAATGTGGTAAGTAGTAAAACTATAAAGAAAAGCAGCAGAATGACTAACATAAGATTTGGGATCATGATTATCTATGTCAGCAAGGGAGGGGGTTAGGGGACCAAAGGGACACCTAGGAGAAATCTAAAGTATGGCAATATACCATTTTTTCACCCAGATAGTGAGTATGTTGGTGTTTGTCTTAGTATTATTCTTTAAACAGTTTAGACCCTTTCATGGATAATATTCTTCACAATGAAAAAAAAAGTGTGAAGAGGTGAGGAAGTGGAGGCACGTGTATAATGACTCAGGAAGCTGGAGAGTGATGGGAGAAGGGAGGCAGGCAGTAGCTGCAGGGGGATGTGCAGGATGATACAGGAAGCAAATGGAAAGACGTCCCTGAGATGCTGGGAGGCATTGGTCCATCACGTGTGGAGAAATCAGGAGGGATGCTACCTCTGTTTTAGCAAGAGGACAAGAGAAAAGATCGGTTTATGGAATTTGCGGTGGAATTTTGTGCATGTTTTCCTTGTGGTGTTTTCTAATTTCTTTACAAAGAATTTAGATGTGGGCTTGGGTAGTTATCAGGAATGGCAGAGATGGACGAAGGGCTGGCGGGGAGGGTGGCCATCTAAATGCTAAATGTTTATTCAACAATGAGTCCATGCCAGGTGCCAAATGAAGAGTGTTTTACATCCATTATTCCATGTATTCTCCTCATCAAAGCAGTGAGGTATGTATTCTCTCACGAGGCTTGTACTAGTTCCCCAGAGCTGCTGTAACAAAATCCCCAACTGCATGGCTTAAACAACAGAAAATTATTTTCTCACAGTTCTGGAGGCTGGAAGCCCAAGATCAAGGTGGCAGCAGTGTTAGTTTCTGCTGAGGCCTCTCTCCTTAGGCTTGCAGACGGCTTTTTCTCTTGGCACACCTGCCCATAGTGTCTCTTTCACTACTTATAAGGACACAGTCCTATTGGATGAGGGCACCACCCTAACAGCCTCATTTTAACTTATTCTTTAAAGATGCTGTCCCCAAATACAGTTACATTCTGAGTTACTGGGGTTAGAGATTCCACTTGTAAATTCGGGGGGACACAATTCAGCCCATAGCAATGCCTGTAAGGAAATGGAGATTTAGGGAGGTCTAACAACTTGCCAAGGGCATGCAGTTACAGTGGCAGAGCTGATGCAAATGCAAGCAGGTCAACTGCAGTGGCTGAATACCAAGCATTTCACTTAAAACAATTCTGTACCTAGAAGAGTGGAGGTGGATAGAAAAGGCCTTTTGGAGAATTTAAAAAAAAACCAGCTGACTAGAATAAAGGAGTAATATTATCAGACTTTTGAGAGCTGTGCATTCTGTCTTAGGAAACAGAACGGAGCTGAATGCTCCACAGTCCCCAGGAGGGGCTATCCTCTCATAGGCTTTCTTTTTAAATCTGAGCTTTAAGCAGAAAGACTAAATTTTGGCCAAAATGGAAGGAAAGATCAACAATTTAGCATCAGCTGGAATCCACTGTCCTCGGTTTCCTTTTTGGGAAAGCCAGATGTAAATTACAGGCTGGGGAGAGTGACGCCTGCTGGGCTCTGAGGACTGTGGGTGGGAACCTGGCTTTTTTCATATGTGGTCCCCTGCTGCCCTCTGCTGGCCAGCAGCGGGAACACTCAGGAACCCACAAGTAACCCTACTTCCTCTAAAACCACAGATCTACAGGGAAAGACGGGAAGAATCTACTGGAATCATACTGTGCAGTATGTCAGTCCCACCTCTCTCCATACACATAAACACATTTCGAATCAATGGTATAGCCAACTTACACTTTTTGGCGTTCTATAACTGCATAGCTGTTTTAAAATTTGCTTCAGCTGTTTTCTTCATTTAAAAAAAAACAAAAACAAAAAACTTGTTCTATCTGCCACCTTCTCAAAAATCAGTTTTCTCAAGATCCAAGAATATGAGAATTTGAATGCAAGTTTTGATGATTTAGCAAAACATCGGTTTGCTCATCATTTCATGGATTCAAATATTATGAACTTATTGTAGATTTGGAAAGATTTTCTTCTCAACATTTTAAAATCATGATTTCCTATGTGACAGCCCATGGATCCCACCATTTGGTTACAGCATTTTCTTAAAAATAATTGTTTTCATTTTCAAATGTGACTTTTTAATATTTATTTATTTATTTTTTTGCTAAGGAAGATTCACCCTGAGCTAACAACTGTGCCAATCTTCCTCTATTTTGTGTCTGGGTCACCACCACAGCATGGCTGCTGATGAGTGGTGTAGGTCTGTGCCTGGGATCCCAAACTGGACCACCGAAGTGGAGTGCACCAAACTTAACCACTAGGCCACGGGGCTGGCCCTCAGATGTGACTTTTCTTTTTAAAAAGTCAGTAGTTCATCCTTTCAGACATTTGACTCTTCTATATTTGGGGAAACTGTTCCAAGTAATAAAGAATTCCCTTGAGCTGAGGACTTTAAATAAATGCCAGAAGAAACTATTGACCTTCCTAAGAACTCCCAGAATTCCTGGCACAGGATGTGTAGCCTGAGGACCTCGGTGAAACTCAAAATGGGTGTGCTCAAGAGCCTTCCACACCCTCACCCTCGTGTGAGCCCCAGCCCTTCTCTGTGCAGTTGCTGGAATGGACATTTAAAATGCAGATCAGATCATGACACCCGTCTGCTTCAGGAGAGGCCAAATGTCACAGCTTTGATTTTAGAATGAAACACAAATTCCTTACCTGCTTTCCAAGGCCAAGTCATCTGACTCATGCCAGCCCCTCCAAGTGGGCCCTTGGCCCCCTTTCCTTCTTCAGCTGTTTGCGTTTTCATCCTTTAAGGATCTCTCTGTGGCTCTATTTCAATATTCTGTTTATTTGCTTCAGGGCACTTGCTACAATTGGTAACGAACATGTTTATTTATCTGTTGTTCATTTCCTGTCCCCACCATTAGGCATCATGCATCAAGTAAGCCTTGTCGATCTTGCTCTTTGCTGCATTCCCAATGCCTAATGAGCATGTATTTATCAATGAATGAGTGAGTGAAGCGAGCAAAGGAGGGAACTGAGAGATGAGTGACACCAAAGTCATTCCATGCAGATGGTGGTACCAAGTTCATTCATAAACATAAGGAAGTCCCATCCCTGTCCTGCAGCACGGGAAGCAAGGAGAGGGCAGTGGCTGCACTTCATCTTTGACGCTAGGCATCAAAACCACTCTTTTCCTGCTTCGAGAAACCAGGGAAGCAGACAGAACACACCACAAACCACCGTTTAGAAGAGCTGGAGGCAGCGAGGAAACACAGGCATGCTGACCCAGCAGACCTGTTCCATCACTGGTGTGGGGACCCATCCAGGATGCAAACTCCAGCTACTAAACCCACGAGTTACACTTTGTGCTGATCCAACGCCTTCCCCTTGAAAGGACACCAGCACGGTCCCGCAGGTTCACAGCCCTGCTGTGAGGCAGGCATATTAACAGTCCCATTTTACAAATGGGAAGATAATGAGCCCGTGGTCAGTGGCTGGAGAACCACGGCTGGGCAGCAGGCTGATGCCTGGCCTTCTGGAAAGAGGTTCTTGTCTCCATCCTCCTTGTCAGACCATCAGAGCCTGAGCAAGGGAAAATAACTTCAGAACTGTCATCAGTTCAGAAACTGGCTTGGTGAAGCTTGCTGAGAGCTATCCCCAAGAGAGGTAGCTAGTGAGGGCTGAAGTGCTCTCGTGGCTCCAGGGAGGCCTGGGTCAGACGTCTTAGGGCACAGTTTCCCCCATCTTCAGTACTACTGGGCCAGTGTAAATTCCTCCGTCATATGTTGCTTCTCTCCTGGGCAGGATCGTGGCATTTGACTGGAACGATCCACAGTGAACGAGGGTCAAGCCAGAATGAAATGTCCAAGAGTCTCTCAGGCCAGGCTGATCTGGGGGTCCTTCAGGAAGAAGGCCAGTTTCTGGGCCACAGCATCCAGCTCGCATGAGCTGGCGTGCTGAAGGAGGTTGCTCTTCCGCACGAAGTAGTGTTTCAGAAAGCGCTGGCTCACGCACTTGTGCAGCTTCCTCACCAGGCGCAGGAACGCTTTGCGGAAGACCTGCCAGTCCTTCAAGTGCGGATATTTCTCACAAGTCCAAAAGAGCACTGTCTGTGGAAGGAAGAGGTGGTGTCAGACACGGTTCTGGGCAATTGAGGAGAGTATCTCCAGAAACATTACTGAGCTCACATGGCCTTGGAAGGAGGGAGAAAGAAGTCACTCAGAGCAAGTTGGTTCTGCCATGAATTCATGGTCCCCAAGCTCAGGTGGGCTCTCAGACTTGCCTGCTGGTCTCCTACACCTCTTTGTTAATTTATTCTCTTTCCACTGACATTTCCTGTGATCGCTACTCTCCTTAAATCTGTACTCCCCTATCCCCGGCAGGTGCCTATGCCTCTGACTTTACCAGGAAAATGGAAACCCTCATGCCTGCAGACCAGACAGTTCTGCTGACACTGGCATCCTCCTCTCCCTCTCTGCCTGCTCCCCTCCTCCCAGCTGGGGTGAATCCTCTGCAGGGCTGGGGATGGTCCCTTCCAGAAACCGTAAATGATTGATCTCCCTCTTTCTCACTGGCTTTTAAAACTGTCCGAAGCCCTCCGACACCCCTAATCCCACATCTCCCTCCTGCCCTAACTCTGCAAATCCAGGTGTCTCCAAAGAAGCATCCCAATCATTTGTCATCATTTCTTCTCCTCGGATGCCGTGCCTCACTCGCTCCAGCATGGATTCTTCCGCCATCAGGCCTCAAAAGCTGCTCTCCTTAAGGTCCAGTGACCTCCATGTTGCTAAATCCAACAGGCCTTTCCCAGCCTTCACTTACCTGACCTAACCTTTCAGCAGAATCTGATTCTCACACCTACACCCTCCCTCTTGAGCCATTCTTCTCTTGGCTTCCAAGCCATCACGCACTCTGAGGTTTCTCCCAGCACCACAGCTGCTCCTTGGCACGCTCTGCTCAACCTCCTTTACCTGCCTCTAATGTTGGAGTTTTGAAGGCTCAGTTCCAGGCCCTCTTCTCCTCTTCTTCTATCTTCCTTCCACAACAGGGGTTTTAATTCCCACTAAATATTGGTGACTTCTAATTTTTTCCCTCCAGCCAAGACTTCACCTCTGACCTCCTTACCTGATACCTCTTGGAAATCTGAAAGTTATCTCAGCCAACATGTCCAAACTGAACTCATGGGCTTCCCCACAAATCTGGTGGCCTCCAGAGTTGCTCATCCAGCCAGTTAGGCAAGACAGAAACCCAGGAGTCATCCCTTCGCTCACGAGCCCCAATCAAATCCCGCCAACCCTGCTGCCTAAGTCTTTCTCAAATCCACCCACCAATCTTCATCTCTAATATTATTATCCTCTTCCATCACATCTCACCTGGACCTCGGCAATAGCCATCAAAGTAAGCAGTCTGCATCTATTCTTGTCACCATCCAATCTGTCATCATCCACACTGCAGCCAACAATATTTTTGAAATAGAAATATGTTTCTTTTTGTCCAAAATACTTCAAAGTATTTCAATGCCTTGTATTGAAAGTATTCTTGTCTAAAATACAAAGTATTGCAGTATTCTCGTCTCAAATACTTCTTCCCATTGTTTGTAAATTAAAAATACAACCCTTAACATGGTTTGGATTATAAGGTTTGGTCCCTGCCTTCCTCTGTGGCCTCATCTTGCCCTGCATTTTCCCCTTGCTTCTCCTTCTGGCTGCACCAGCCTTGTTTCATGCTCTCTTCTATCACAGGGCCTTTCGCATCCAACTTTTCTGCATGGAGCAAACTTCCTCACCCACTTTGTCCTGGAAACTCATCCATCAGATCAAATTTCCCTGTGACACCCGTTGAACATCCTCTTTGCCATGTACTTCTCCTAAGCAGCAACGATCTCAGTAATCGTCATTTGTGTGTTTATTTATGTGATCCCTACTAGACTGTAAATGCCACGAGAGAGGAAGAGTGTCCTCCTTTTATTCGCTGTTATGTCACTGGCACCCAGCAGAGGGATTGGCCCACGGGAGGCAGTCAATAAACATTTATTGACTAAGTGAAATAATTAACTAATATTATTGTTTAGATGTTGAGTATTTTTAGAATATAGTCTTTATGAGAAAGTAAAACAGTTTTAGGTTCACAGCAAGATCTTGACTGCGTTTTGATTTAGATTACATTGTTTTGAGTGAGTGGGAGATAATTTCATGCTGGTCAAGCTAACCTAGATAGCAAAACAAATGCTGTAATTCTTTTTGTAGTTAAGCTTTTATCTCCCTAAGCAAACTGAAGCTGTTAAGCCCATTGTAATCAACCCCTGTGCCTGGAGTAGGTTTTAGGAATAAAGAAACCAATGAAAGATAAGCTCTTGCTTCACATGAAATCACTTTGGGGGAAAGCCTCTCGGGAGAGGAGGCGAAGACCTTACAGGACAGTCTCAGACTCAAGGCGAGGTGACCATAACTGGCTGGTTTACAACCCAAGTTCTTCTACTTTTCCCAAACTAAAGCCTTGGCAAGGATCCCATACCCTCAAGTCATTATCCAGGATGGTGTCTAACACCACATTGTCACCAGCCACCTTCGTCCTGATGCCTAAATGTGAAAGAATTCGGCCCTCGGACCGAGGGTGGAAGACTAGAGGAAAAGGCCGTTAGTACTGTTTCTGTTTGTCCCACCCTTCTCAACAAATAACCCCCCTTTTCAAAGCCCATTCTTGAGAATGCACAATTTCATTGTTCCATGTACGTGGATTAGGGAGGATTGAAAGAGAGAACCTGAGGAGTTACCCTAAAATCCTCTAGATCATTCAGAAGCCACTAGAACAAAAAGCAATCCTTGGGTGGGACGCAGTTCTGAGTGCAGCCAGGGTCTGGAAGGCCCTAGTGGGCTATTCAATCTTAGCTATAATATTCACACCCTTAATGAAGTCAATGGTTAAGATTATGAGGTTTTGATAGGAGACAGACTGGAGTTTGCTTCTCAGCTCTGGTTCTTCTCTTGCTTCCAAGGCAAGCAACAAGCTAACCCCACAGAGTGAATTAGACTATCTTCAGAAAGCACATGCCTGTGCAGGAGAGCGGGTTGTGTGTCTTCAGGGGAATGTTCTTGGGGACACAATGAGAATGTTGAAACTCCAGAGAAAGTCCCAGTATGTGCAAATGAGATGTAAACAGATTCTCAGGCAGGCGGGGGAGGACACGTTTATCAGGTAAGATAAGAAAACAAAGCAAAGACTAGTGATTTTGTGGGGGAAAAAGTTGACTAAGACGTGAAGTTGTTCATTCCTTCAGTCAACAAATATTGACCAAGCAACTACTCTGTAAGAAGCATTGGGAGAGAGCCTAGGGGTTCAGTAATAAACAAGACCAACGTGGCACTTACTTTCAGATAGATGACATTAGAGCTGAAAGAGTAACCCAGGTCTGGAAAATGGTTGTCCATTGAATGAGAGGAGGCCCAGGTAAGAGCATGCAAGGAAGGCACCACCCAGTCAGGTGACCACCCCAGGGACTTGTGCTCACCTGTGGAAGGGCAGGGAGAAGGGCTGAAGCTCCCAGTCAGCTACTAGCTGGGCTGGGGCTGTGCTGCTTGTAAGAGTCTGACATCTCCCAACCCCAGCATGCTGCACACACTGTTACGTGCACATCCAGTTCACTATGTATGGTTGGAAATTTGAGAAAGAGGAGTTGGGAGTGTGATCCAAGGCCACCTCTCCAGGGGAAGCCCTCTGGTCCCCCAGGCCGGGTCAGGTTCTGTTGCTCTGAGCCTTCACCGTGACACTCTATTCCTCCCTAGTGCTCCCCAGGCTGCGTGACTCCACACGTACCTGTGGGACTATTTGACCATGTCTGTTTCCCCTGCTAGACCGTAAGCTCCATGACAGCAAGAGCAACAACCATGTCTGCGTTTGTTCACCTTGTATCTTCAGGTGTAGAGCACACAGCAGGTGCGGGCCCATAGTAATCTCAACAAACATTTGCTGAGTGAGTGAGTGAGTGAGTGAATTCATGCACATGCAATGTTGGATTTGGGGAAAGGCGAGGCAGTTGCTGGAGCACGAAGGAAAATGCTTGCCCGATGATTTGGAACCTGGAAGCTCAAGTTTGCAGCAATGTTGGTGTAGTGAACCCCAACATTTCCTGGTTTCCCCTCTGCTCAGAGTGTGTCTGTGTGTGTGTGTGCATGTGTGCCTGAGTGGCTGCACTCAGGCTAGAGTTGGGATGGAGTGAGTCATAACACCAGGGAAAACATGGATTCATCCGAGGTTTGAGCAACTCACAAGATTTCACCAGATTGTAGATTATTCAAGGGCAGAGACCACATGTTGTAATTCATTTCTGAACCTTGACAGGGTTTCTAGCATGTTGTGGGCACTTGTTTTGGTTTATTGAGTGAAATAAAAGGGGAGAAGAGAGAGAAGAAAAAGTAAAGACAAAAAAGAAAAGGGAGGGGGACTGGGAATGGGAAGGGAGGGAGGCAGAGGTGTGTGGACACACATACCCAGGTTTATAGGTCTCCATGTGAGTGATAATACGTGAGGTGGCAAATATGGACACCAGAGCCCCATCCTGAATTTGTCACATGCACGCCATCCCTTCTGAGTGGCTCTGGCCAGGCCCTGCAGTGGACGCAGAGGCCACCCACCCAACCGCAGCTGCCCTGGGCCCTCCATGGCCCACGGCCCGCACACTCACCTGCAGATGGTGGGACGTGATAACAGGCCTCTTCCCTGGGCACCAGACATCCTCCTTCATCTGCCTCATGACCTGAAAACACTTCCTGCGGCAGCCCCCGTCCTCATCCAGCTGCTCCAGCAGCACCTGCTCGGCCTTCAAGAAGCTCAGCTGCCAGTGATAACTTGAACCGGCCAACAAGGTAAATCCAAATGACTGGAAGAAGAGACAAATATTGGGAAAATGAGAAGGCTGATGCTTGCTGGGTTAGAAAGCCATCTCAGAAGCAGTCCACTAATCTGGGGGACCTGCCACCGGGCAGGCGGTCCATCCTACGTGGGGGCATGGAGGGAGCCTCAGGGCAAAGCCCCTTGCCCGTGGGCTGTTAATCGGAGACGCTGTGTCCAGTTTCGCTTCGGCAGTGGTTCTCCTCTTGGGCCTGCACCAGAATCACCTGAAGAGCTTGTTAAAACACAGATTGGTGGGCCCTGCTCACCGAGTCTCACTCAGTGGGTCCAAAGTGGGGCCCAGAAATCTGCATCTCTAACAGCTTCTAGGTGCCGCTGCAGGTTCTGAGGCCCACATTTTGAGAACCACTGAGCTCAGTTTTCCTTGCTAAGCTGGTTGGCAGTCAACCTTCCTAGGCCGGTTAAGCTGTGAGTATCTGTGCTCTGGTGAGCGCGGACCCTGCCCACCGGTACCTTGGTGCACTCCACTCTCTCAGGGGAAGGCCAGCGCTTCAGACATGGAGGCCACTGGGCTTTCTTGGACCAGACGGTGGGGATCTCCACTGCGGGGACCAGCTCTACTTCCACCTGACGTGAGGATGCTTCCACGGCAACGCAAACGGCAGGGCAGTTTGCCAGCATGCTGACCTTACCTGGTGGGAAATGACAGACCATGAGAAGAGGAAGCTCTCTGAACACAAGCGTTCAGAGAAGGAATTTGTGAGCAGCGGCTCCGACCAGAGGTTCTGACAGCTCCTTGCAACTGGTGGGGCAACTTTCACAACTTTCATTGCTAGAAAAATCCCATTGTTGATGGGTTTTTTCCATTGTCTCTCTCTCCTCTCTCTGAAGGCTTTTATGGTACCTTTTCCATTAAATTAACAGATTCTTTTCAGAAGGCTCAACTGAAGAGAGACACAGAATGGAAAGAAAAGGTACAGTGTTTGCTACTGTAAAATGAAATCCAACCATTCTTCCAAGTCCCCTCAATCCCACCCAGATGTCCTGACCTTGAGTAGGACAGCCTTGGTCCCCTTACTTACTCATCTGCCTTTGGTGGAGTTCGGTGTGACCTGTCTCTTACCTGAGTCACAGTCTCTCTGGTGGTATTTGTTTCCACCCCCATTAAGCCAGCCTAGCCTCAGATGTATTTATCATCAATAAGCCCTTAGAATCATAAAATACTTCAAAGTGTGTCAGAGCCACTGGCTTAGAGTGTCAAGTGAGTGGAAAGGAGCCCTCACTGCCTTTTCTGACCAGGCAAAGAGAGAGAGAGAAAGTAAATCCATCTGGTTAAGTTTTCTAGCTCATACACTAGAATTCATTTCTAATGTGTTCCCCCTGCTTTCAAAGATCCACAGTGGATTTTTGGTTAGTTTGCCTTCATTACAGATAAGGATGAGCGGGGTGAATCGGGATCTATTATTTTGCTTTTCCCTGCTCAGAGAAGAAAGCGGCAGCTCGTTCTTAATGGTGTTTAGGCTGTTCAAAAGGAAACATTCGTCCGCTTGGGTGGGGTGTGACAAAGAGCTTGTTGTCAGCATCTCATCAGAGCTGCCCAGACAGTAATGTGACAACGTCTGGCACTGCAGCATTGTTTACTGAGAGCACCTCATCAACCTGGCCCAGTTCGAATCTCTTGTTTGCACTTTCACTGTTAACAGTGTCGCAAAGTGAAGAGGTGAGCAAATTCGGGAACCAGCCTGCCTGGTCCACACCCTGCTTCTGCCCCTCTGCTGACAGGTGTGTGACCTGCGGCATGTTACTCTCTCTAAATCTCAGTCATCTCATCTGTAAAACGGTAGCAAAAGAATGCTTGCTCTATAGGGTTGCTCTGAATATTAAATAATCCATGAAAGCATCCTACTTATGGTAAAAATCCATTAATCATGACCTACTTCCATTATGGAACATTTCAGAACTGTTCTGTCTAGATAAACAAACGTACATACAAATCCTCTTCTTTCTATACAAATGGAATCACATATTATTCAGCAGTTTGGTTTTTCACTTCATTATCTAGCACGGGCATTTTCCATAACTCTGTGTGCATATACACACACATCTCATTCCTTTTATAGGCTGCATAACAGTCCTTTGGCAGAGGTAGCATAATTTGTATAGTCACTTTTCCTTAGTTAGCTATTTAGATGATTTCTGCAGTCACGTGCTGCTTAATGACGGGGATACATTCTAAGAAATGTGTTGTTAGATGATTTCGTTGTTGTGGGAACATCATAAGTTTGTACTTACACAAACTTAGGTGGTATAGCCTACTGCACACCTAGGCTGTATGGCACTAATCTTATGGGACCACTGTCACATATGTGGTCTGTCTAACTGAAACATCACTATTTGGTGCATGACTATAGTGATTTACTATCACAAGGCCTATGGCAGTGGATATCTTTGTGCATATTTCTTTGTGCATCTGTAAGAATATATTTCTAGAACTGGAATTGCTGAATTGCCGAGGAAGCACACTACAAATGTAAAAACAGACTAATTGCCCTTTAAAAAGAAGGCACCAATTTGTGCTTCCAAGAATAATGTATGAAAATGCCTCTTTCGCCATGCCCAGCCCTACACTGAGCATAACCACACTTTTTCATCTCTGTCAACCTGTTAGGTGTTTGAATGTACATTTATTGAAATATATGTTAGATGGAACATTTTTTCTTATTTTCACTAGCCATTTATTTTTTTTTCTGATTCATGTTTTTTTTCATTATTTACATTGGTCTGCTCATATTTATTGGCTTATAAATACACTTTTGTAGTTAAGAAATTAGCCATTTTTTCCCAGTTTGAAATTCACCTTTTTACTTTGTGTAAACTGAAAGGGTGTGTTTGTGTGTCGTGTGTGTGTGCACATATGCCACACTGTACTGTAGCTTAAGATTTGGGGGTTGTCAAACTTAAGCAGCTCCTTCTGGCTTCTGGATTTTGTGCTTTGGTGTAAGTCGGTGGTTTCCAAGTGTGTCTCAACACACTGGGTCCGGCAGTCAGTTGGAGGGTGTTGTAGCAGAAATGTTCTAATAACAAAGATCTGTTATTAGAACAAATGTTCCAATAACAAAGGTTTGGGAGTAATTTGCTTTTTAAAAAGAGTGCCCAAGTTTTAAAGCTAACATACTGGAAAGGGTACATAACCCCACGCCTGTCACATCCATGCCGGGACAGGGATCTACGTGAACCCACGGGAGTGTGTTGTGACTATGAATTCCATTCTTCCATGTGTCACAGCAGAAAAAAGAGCTAATTCATATTATGGGGATTGAACACATGTAAAGAGCAAATGATTACTGTCTCAATTTAGGGGCATGAGCTTCAGGGAACATCCAAGCAGGGGTTTTTAGAGCAAAAGGGAAATGCCAGAAATTTCCCTTGCACTTTTCCTGATCAGCTCACCTGAGAGGTGACAGGTTCCAATTGCATTTTCTACCAGCTTCCGGAACACCTGGAGGACCTTGGCAGGCACAATGTCTCCCTCGATGTTCACGTCTGCCTCGTGCCACTGCCACAGGCTCTTCGTGAACTGCCCCACTGCCAGCCACTGCTGCAGGCCCTCAGGGTCCCGCAACGGGCAGGGGAGCCTGGCGCCCCGCAGGGTGTAGTACCGCCAGCGCTGCTCCTCGGCCTCCCTGTACCCTGCCAGGCCTTTCAGTGGGACTGTGATGAGGAACTGGCTGGGGGCCAAAACCTGGGGTCCGGAAAGGAGAGAGAATGAGTGTGAGTTCATAGACTTGAGATGTAACAGAAGTTCTAGGAGAGCTGACCTGTTGAACCAGGAAACTCCGTTAACCACTCCACCCTCAGCAAGGTGACAAGGTGGACAGAGAACTGCACCAGCCAGTTGCAAAAAGATTGCATCTTTGACTTGCACCCCTATGTTCATTGCAGCATTATACACAATAGCCAAGACCTGGAAGCAACCTAGGTGCCCCTCAAGGGACGAATGGATAAAGAAGATGTGGTATATACATGATGGACTACTACTCAGCCATAAGAAATGACGAAATCCAGCCATTTGTGACAACATGGATGGACCGTGAGGGTGTTATGCTGAGTGAAATAAGTCAGAGGGAGAAAGTCAAATACCATATGATCTCACTCATAAGTAGAAGATAAAAACGACAAAAAAAACACACATAGCATTGGAGATTGGACTGGTGGTTACCATTGGGGAAGGGGGAGGGGGGAGGGCAAAAGGGGTGATTAGGGTCACATGTGAGGGGTTGCACTATAATTAGTGTTCGGGTGGTGAACATGATGTAATGTATCCAGAATTTGAAATATGATGTACATCCGAAAAAATAAAAATTAAAAAAACAAAGAAACAAACAAACAAAAAAAGATTGCATCTTTGTTCCACCACTAACCCATTGTAATGCTTCAAGCAGGTAATTAACTCACTGAGTCCTTGGTTTCAGGAATCTGCGAGGAGAGAGTGTGAACTCGATCTGGAACTATAGAGGATGCCTAAAGTCTATGAGAAGAAGAAAGAGCAGGGACAGGCACTGGTGTGCACTGAGTTCCACATATACTAAGCACTGCAATTCTTGTGTATTAGCACAAGATTTGTATTTGATCTTCACAGTCACATGAGGTGGGCTTTGCTGACATTTCCTCAGTGAGGATCCTATGGTTCAGAGAGTCTCTGAGATCTCCCCAGGGACACACAGCCAATAAGTGGTAGAGCCAGAACTTGGTCTTAGGTTTCCTGATTGCTTGTTCAATGGCTGCTTTTCTACTCTGGGCAGGCTCTCAGTAAAGAATGAATGACCTGGAATAGGTCAAAGGTCTGGTATGAATAAAGGGTAGGAAGGGATTGGGGAGGAGGTGAAAATATTCTGCAAAATGCCTTTCTGTTTGCTTGTACTGATGCCCCACAGCCAATATTAATGACTAATTGTTACAAAATCACAGGTGAAATGAAGGCCTATTTGTTGAGACAATGAGAACTGTTGAGATGATTCTAAGTTTAATGGAATAAATCAGTCAGAATCTACCTGCTCTCTTTCTACAGGAACCAGTGGAGCAGTGGTCGGGGTGAAAGTGGTCGGGCCAGTAGCCCAAGGGATAGAACAAACTGGTCAACAGGGCAGTACCACCAAAAGGACCTTGACCTTTGACCACATCACCTGGCAGCCCACGCCACAGAGCCCCTTTCCCATCAGTCAGCTGTACACTGAAGGAGCCACTTCCTTTTCATGGAAAGTTCTAACAATGAGATTTGGTTAACCTTTGCCCCGGGGCCCAATCATTGGCCACTTCAGGGGTGAACACCAAAATCAACAACAACTGATTCTGCCTCATTCTCAGAGAACAATAGTTTGATACTTTAGATGATGGGTCCACATGACTTCTGGTGTTCATAGAAAGGTCATGGGATTAAAAAAGCAGGAAAAAAACTAAGGTATGGCACTCAAAGTCTATACGTTATTTGAACCCACTTGCCTGTGAATTCAAGAGCACAACTATCATGTTACTGGCCACATAAATGGTGCTTGATAAATACTTGTTGAATTTGATCCAAGATAAACTAAAAGCAATTTTTATATGCCCCTCTGTAACTATTTTCAAAATTTAATATGCAGGACATGATGTATATAAATGCAAGATATATTTTAAGCTATGAATGCTAAGTGAGACCACAGAAGGAAATTTCCTCGGATATAGTTCTAAGAAAAGTAATGTTATATTTCTATTCCTAGTCACTAGTCTATATTTGTCTCATTTAGGTTGGCAGGTGGTAGTGTTGGGCAGATGATGTTCGGATATTCCGGGATCCAATCTAGTTTTACAATTTTCATTCCGGGGTGAATTTCCTAAGATCTGACTCTGTCCCCAAATCCACAAGTTCCAGAATCTTGTGGGTGGTCCTTGCACCCACCAACCTTGAAATGTACCAGACTAGCAAAGGTCTTTTGTTCAGGTACTAATTCTTTTGCTCATTCATTCATTTAACACAAGTTGAGCATCTACCATGGACCACACACCATGCTGGGTACTAGGAATGGAGCAATCAATAATCATGATCCCTACAATCAAGGAACTTACAGTCTTGTGGGAGAGATAGGGCATGAATACATATAAATTTAATACAAGTGAAAGGGGTTCTTGTGTGTCAAAAGAAAAATCGAGATAAAGGAGCATGGGGATTCTGAGTGATTCAGAGACTCACCTCTCACATCTCTAAAAGGGAGAGAACCATAATGTCTGTTCCACTGGCTGAGTGAGATAATTTCTGTGAGAACAGCTTGCCCACACTACAGTGTGGTGTGAATGCTGATTGTCACGCACAGGCCCCAGTGCAGCTCTGTGGGATGCCTCGGCAGGGACAGGGGTCTGGACGCTGCTCCTGCAGTCTCTAAGGGCCATTTCTTCCACATTCTTCCTTCCCCCACCTGCAACCCATAGACTATCACTTTCAACTATTTTCTCACTAGTGCCCTGACTTCCCCCTACCCAGTCCCCAATCTATTAAGTAGGTGAGTAATAAATGAATGTGTGCTTAACTAAACGTTAATTGTTACCATGGAACGTGCTTTCAAATCAGAAGCCCCCCGTTGAGTTCTGCATTTAGTGCCTAATAACACTTGATCAAGTCATTTGACTTCTCTAAGCCTCAATTTTTGTTATCTGTAAACTGGAAATGTGGGGGTTCAAATGAGAAAAAATCTATGAAATGAATTTGTAATGGTAAATACTAAGAGTACCTGTGGAAACATGAAGTATGACTAGTACTCTTCGTCAAGTGAGCGCCTGACACATACCGAGACCCACTCACTCGGTTTCCTGGCTCTCTGGGTGAGGCACTTAGAGATGCATGTGATCTGCTTACCTTAATGTTCCCGTTGTATGTGCCAGAGTAAGGGACGGCTTGAAATCGAATGTCTCGGGTGCTGATTTCTGTGGTCAGATGGTGGATGACTTTCTGCACCTCCTCCACAATCTGGGAAATCCACTGACGCCTCAAGTCCACCTGGGTGTGAAGGGATCCGCAAAGGCAGTTATTTCCGGTGCAGGCCCCGAGGCACCAGCATAAGGAAGGGACAAGAACAGCGGTGGGTGACCAAAGGAGTTCAGCTCAAAAATCCTGCTTTCCCAGGAACTCCAGGGCACGTGAACTTCGATCTGATGACACTCCTTGGTGCCTCAATGTTCTCTTCGGAAATAGAAGCATCGTTCAATATTTATGTAGTACCTACCATGTGTTAGATGCCCCTCTAGGTGCTGGGGCATGACAGCGAACAAGGCAACAGCAAACAAGATAGACATACTTGCCCTCTGGTTGAAAATATAGGATTTAAGTATATATACATACATATACACAAACGTCATGTGTGTGTATAATGTAATATCAGGTATGATAAGTCCCACGAAGAAAAAATAGGATAAGGGATTAGAGAGTAAAGGGGCTGCTATTTTAGATTGGGTGGCCAGGGAAGACTTCTCTAAGGAGGTGACATTTGAGTGAGCCCTGAAGACAGCTCGCGAAAGCAAATTCCTAGACCCCTAAAACAGGAGCCTGCTTGGTAAGGCTCAAGGGCCAGCAAGGAGGTTGCTGTGTTTGCATCCTGGAAAAGGAAAAGGAGGGTGATAGGAGATGAATTTGGAAAGGATGGCAGGGGCTGGACCGTCACGCAGGGTTTGTGAACCATGGTGAGACCATGAACTGGGATAATAACGCCTGTGTCTGGGCTGGGGAATATCAAACAGCTTAATGCATGTAAACACACCGCAGATTGTTTTCTGCTTATGTTGTCAACAGATGATGGGTCCCTCCCCTCTTTTTGCTACTGGACCCATAAGGAAAGGCATGCATTTACATTTCTTCTGACTCTGCACAGCAAGTCTCCAAGGACTGGAAAATATCCATAGAAAATAGACCTATCTTAAAAAATATCTAAGGTTTAGGAAAATAGATGCTTGTGGGAAACACAAAGAAACTTTTAGTAAACTCTAGAAGGAACAGAAAAATCCAAATGAAGAAGAAATGGGAAGAGTCTGCTAGGTTTTTCTGAAACAGAGGGGCTCTCTGTCACGTTGCTCAGGAGGCAGCTGCAGCCTGGTACCATTGCAAGAGTCTCCCTCAGCGAGGCACTGCCGAGCCTGTGCAAGACCGGATCTGAAGCAACATTCAAGACATCTAAATGCAACGTCCACCCGTGAATTTTTATATTCCCTCTGAGTTTTGTACAGTGATTGTTCCTATACATTCTGGAGTGGTTTAAGACATTCATAAACTGGTCAAGAAAAAAAGCCCAAGTCAAAGAGATTTCTGTCTGTTTTCCTAAACTAAGTTATCAACTAGTCCAGTCACCTGAGACCTCACGCCTCCCACCAACCAACAAGCCAATGACACAGGGACATAGAACACAGATATGCACGTGCATCAATTTGCACACATGTTGTTTGTCACATATAGAGTCAGTTCATTGATAAACATTTATTTAGCACCTGCTATGTGCCAGGCCCTCTGTCACATGCTGGGACGCAGCAGTGAGTAACACAGACATAGCCATGCACTTACAGCAGTGGGCAAAACAGGCATACATACAGAATATAAGAGTGGGGGCCATGAGAGGGAAGTGTAAGGTGTCACTGGGTACAACAGGGCAGTTGGCCTAATCTGCAGCCTGACACCTGTTTTATATGTACATATCCTCACACAGAGGACTTTCTTTAAAAAACTAATACTCTCCAGATGCCCAGGAATAACAGGAAACATGAGATAAGATGCCTGATTTTAAGGAGCTTACAAACTCACTGGAAATATATGATACACATGAAACTGGCTTTTCAAAATCTATGTCTTGTCTGACCTTAAATATGATGCTCAAGGGTATACTAGCTTTAATACCATCTTTTTGCCACCAGCAGCCACCCACCCCTCTTCATATGTCCAACCAACTATATTCATCATGGGAGAAGGGACCAGGGTACTTTTCTTGAGCATTTGTAAAGTATCAAGATTCTGCATCTTCCAGAGTGTGCAAGTGGAAGAAAGAAGGTGGTCACAGAGGGGGCAGGTCATTTGCCATGCCAAAAATGAAAGAAAATGCTCTTAGAAGCCTATGATTAAGGGTCCTCTCTATTGTAGGACTTCTCCTACATGTTGTAATTCAACTCCTTTGGGACAATTTTTGTTGAACATCCACTTCATGCCAGTTTCCGTGCATACATGTTGTCAAGGGGCTTACAGATGAGATGAAAGACAAGACAAATAAACCAGAAATTAAAATCCCAGCAATCAGCTAGGTAGAGGTTTGCACAGGATACTATGGGTACAGAGAAGAAGGAAGTTTCATCTAGTTTAGAGTTGGGGGGCCCTTCCTGGAGGCATAGTGTATCAGAATCGTATCTTGACAGATGAGTAGGAGTTAGCTAGAAAGAGAAGGGCATGAAAGTTGTTCTAGAAAAAGAAAATGGCTGATATCTAGCATGAGGAGCACAAAGGAAGAAGTGCAATAGTTTCTCTATTGTTGGAGAGGAGATTTCCTTGGAGGAGGATGTGAGGCAGGAGAACAAAGAGCAAGAGGTCTCGAAAATAAAGGAAGAAGAATTTCGAGAACTGAGTCAACAGTAAGTGACTGTTAAGTGCTGAGTGAGATAAGGGCTGCAAATTGTCCATGGAGTTTGGCAACTAGGATTGCTGTGTTCGGAGAAGTGGTGGGCATCAGGCCAGATTAAAGTGGGTTAAGAATGAATGGGAGCAGAGCAAGTGAAGACAGAGGTAAGTAACTCCTCCAGGAAGTTGGGCTAGGGAAGGAAAAAACAAACAAGGACAGCAACAGGTTTTTTCAGAATGACACACAGGTTTGAACATGTTTAAATGCTGAGAGAAAACAGCCAGTGGAGAAGGAAGAGACAGCAGAGAGCAAAGCCACTGCGTAAGGATTTGCCAGCCAGAAAGAGTCATGCAAATCCAGAAGCCTGGTGAGGAACTCACCTTGGTGTGCCAGCAAGGAAGAAAGATAGGTGCAAATACAGACAAAAGGGTGGGGGATGGGAGGAATCAGAGAGCTTTCCTGTCTGATGTCTCTTTTCTTTATAGAGTAGGAGACAAGGCAATGAGATGAGAGTGAGGTGGAGAAGTGGAGGGTAGGGGACTTTTGGATGACAGACTTGTGACATAGCTTCTATGAGGAATGAGGGGCTATGTAAGCACATGTGTAAAGATTGCCAGGCAGGACCAAGACTCAACTGTGGTGGGCCCATGAGGCTGTGGGACACCAGCGGACTCAGGTATAAGACGTTCTCTAGCACCTCTCGGCCCTTCAACGGTAGCAGTTGAGGTGCTAAGATTAGAGTTTGCTGGGCAAGATCTGGGGAAGGATAAAAGAGCAAGGGAGGGTTTCAGTGCTAGGCTGTGTTTTCCAGCCTGGGCAGGCAATAGACGAAGCCAGTTTGGTAGATTAGGGGACATTGGACAAGCTCAGGGACCAGAAGGGTGACCAGGTATAGTGGGGAAAAGTGATACAAGGGCTAACTAGGTAGAACATTGCAATCAGAGTGGTTGGGAAACAGTATTCTCAAATAGTGAAGTTCTCAGAATGTGTTCAAGACTAAGGCTAGCCCCCCGAATCTCCCGAGCCTGCGGATGTGAATCTAGAGAACCTGAATGTTGGTAACACAGTGGTGAATCTATCTGTGCCCATACATTTTGTTTCCTGAGTTAATAAACTAACAAAAAAGTTGTCACCATATTGACGCCATCAAATCATTTTTAACTGATAAAGCTTGAGAGAGAGAGCGTGTGTGTACACAAACATGATGAGTAGCCTACTGGAAAAAGCTCTCCATTGTGAATTTCTTCTACAAATTGTGCCCTCGTTTGATGATGGAATTTTCTTGCTGGGTGAGACAAGTTCACACGCTCCTTAGAAGACACCTATAATCTCTCACTCATTATACAGGGTTATTAGCTTATCTTAATGACTTGTTTTGATTTCTGAAGGTAAAAGTCAGAATAAGGGAATAGTTTTCTGGGCCTAGAGCCACAAATCCTGGTTTTGATTTTCGTCCCCCATCACTTCTGCTGCAATTTAGCCTCAAGGATCTTAGAATTAGAAGGGACCTCAGAAATTATCTTGTCTGGTGTCACTTTACAGAAGGCCAGAGTGACAGAGTGGCTCTCCTGATGTCACAGTGTAGTTGACAGCAGGACTAGACCTAATGCCCTGGTCCCCCAACTCCTCTTCCCATCACACTTACCACACTCTCAAGTAGAAGCACTAGAAATATCACCTGCCCTTCATTCTCTTCCTGAACCTAAACATGCCCTCCGTTTGGAGTCGAGTCTTCTGATATTTCAAAGTCCAAAGTCTCCGTGTATTTGGGTATCACTGACTGTTCTGACAGCCCACAGGCACACGAGGACAACACAGCAGGGCATGACACTGGTGTGGGGTTTCACCAGAGCTGTAGGGGGAGAGCCCCATCTTGAACACGCCTCTCCCACAGTGCTCAAGCCACTGGAGTCAAATGGGAGCCTCTGTCCCATTAGGCGATGGCAGCCCTTTCTTCCCCACATCTCTGGCCATACTTCCTGCAACTGGTTCCTACCTCTGCAGCACCACAGGGCTATTTTGCAGCTCCAGAAGGGGTTTGTGCTGGGGTTTCCCAGGCTCAGTCCCATGCACCTCTTGTCACCCCTGTGGTGTACCACAACGCAGAAACCCCGGGCTCTCTCCCCTCCCTTGTCTTGACTACAACCAAGGGAGGAAGAGCAAGAAGATTCCATTTCAGGGTGTGGAAAAGCTGGGAGTGGGGCCTCGGGCAGCATTACAGGGAGGGATCTTGGTGAAGAAGGAGGCTCCACCACGGGTAGACACCCATCGCCAGGTCAACCTCAGAATCCTTTTATGGCCTCTCAAACTTCAAGAAGCAAGTAAGATACCAGTTGCAGCCTTGTCACCAAATTTCTTTCATGGCAAAGCTTTGGAACAAATGTAAGGGGGAACTCTGATAATTTAAGAATCAAAGTGCAGTCAATCCCAAGCTGACCTCCATGCCTGCTGAAGTCTCTCTCACCTCCCCTGCTGATGGGGCCAATGAACAAAGGTGCATTGAAGGACGGCATTTGTGGATGTGACTGAGCCAAAGCGGAAATGAGCTGTATTAGATTAATCAGGCCATGATGCCAGATGTAGTTAGATCTTCTAATCCAACCCTTCCATGCACTGACCCTGGAAAAGTTATGCCACACTTGTTAGCGTGTGGATTCAGTTACTCTAATTAAGCAGAGTTTATGCAAAAACAGTCATCAGAGGCACCCTTTGAGGGTGCCATGCATTTTTTGTGGGCCTCCCTCCCACCAAGGCATGTCTAGGTGCCAACACACACGTACACATCCCCACCCTGGGCTACTTTCCTCCTCCCCAAACACAGCATCAGGCCCATTGTTGTCCTACACATCATTTGCTACTATTAATAGCTCAAGTTTGTGAGCCTGAGTTCAATTTACTGTTTCAAATATAAATTATTGAGAATTCAAGCTTACCCTCTAAACATCACTCTGACTCACTTGCATTTCAATGTGCTTTCTTGAGAGAGAGGTAGAGGGGTGGTGCTAAATAGCAAACCAGGAATGTCACTTAGGCCTCGTCACACCCATGAGCACATGGCTCATGCGAACATCATCCATGATGAGTGCCACTGGGGGAAAAAAGGCTGAGAACTTCCTGCCAGACAACAGGAAGTCAGACTTTTAATTCTGGAATTGCATTAAATTCAATAATCAGTTAAAAAAAAAAAAAAATAGACACCATCTCTGTCTTCCAAGGGTTAATAATTTAAAAAGATGGAGGGGCCGGCCTGGTGGCACAGCAGTTAAGTTCACACGTTCCGTTTCAGCGGCCTGGGGTTTGCTGGTTTGGATCCTGGGTGCAGATGTGGCACCACTTGGCACACCATGCTGTGGTAGGCGTCCCACATATAAAGTAGAGGAAGATGGGCACGGATGTTAGCTCAGGGCCAGTCTTCCTCAGCGAAAAGAGGAGGATTGGCAGCAGTTAGCTCAGGGCTAATCTTCCTCAAAAAAAAAAAATAATAATAATAATAATTTAAAGAGACGGAAACTTAAATTCAGTGATCCATATAGATGAGACAGTAGACTTTCCACCATCATATCCTCACCTTTTCAGACTAATTCTTCCGTGAACCAATGCTTGGGCCTCACAGGACATCTGCAGTGCGTACGTATAGCAGAAGCCATAGCAACAACAGCACTATGGAGCTAAGAATGGTGAGTCCTTCCCGTGTGCAGGAGGTTTCACAAGTGTTGGCTCCTTTAACCTCCCAACAATCCTTTAAGGTGGATGCTATGATTATCCCCATTTTACAGATGAGGAAACTGAAGTTTAGAAAGTGTAGGTAATTTGCCCAGGGTCCCAGAGTCAGTAAATCACAGAACAGGGATCCGCACCCAGGCAGTGTCATTCTGAACCCTTGTTCCCAACCACTGCACTGCTCTGCCACCTTAAGGACAAGGCGACCTTGAATGGAATCCACACCAACTGCTCGGATGGGGTTCCTTTAGCCTGGAAGGCCTCTCCCGTATCCCTCCACTTATTAAAACTCTACACGTGCTCCTAGGCTTTGTCTCTACTCCTCTTTCCATGAAATGGCTCTCCCCTCAGAGCTAAGACTCCTCTCTTCTCCTCCAGCACCCTGTCTAAATCTCTACTGTAGCCCTTGTGATTGGCCACATATTCTATGAAGCATTTGCCTGTCTGCACATGGAACTTCCTCCTTGTACCTTTGGAATTATGTGTGAAATCTGCAGGTGAGATAGGGCCATCCTTAAAGATACCTGAAACACAGAATTTCTCTCTCATTTAGCAGGCCACATCCCGGACCTGTGTGTTAAACACAGTGTTTTGCACAAAGTAGGTGCTCAATGTGTCTTTATGGAGCTAGAGAGGAGTTTAGCAGAGGAAATATGGCTTTAGAGTAACAAAGAGTAGACTGAAACCTCAGCACCTTCACTATCTAGCTATGTGACTTTGGACAAGTTATTTAATCCGCATGTGTCCCTGTTTCCTCCTCTGTAAAAATGAAGGTAATATGCACGTCACATGGTTATTGATTAGACTAAATGAAATACCATATGGGTCTCAACCTGCCAGCCCCTTTTACTCCATCCTTGCATTATCTTCAATGAACCCTAAAGATATTTCTAACCACATATGTGCAAAGACACTGTGTGAACGTCAAGGAGAATAAAGATATCCAAGACATTGTTCTTCCTTCCAGAAACTTATATGGAATAAAATGATATGATAATTAAGTTTCCACCCAAGATAATAATAGGAAAAGTGTCAGGAGTCAATATACAACTGATTGCCAAATAAACATTATCAGTAATAATTATGATGTGAGTTTACAGGAGGGCAAAACATTTTGTGCTGGAGTGTCAGGGAAATCTTTCTTGAGAAAGTGGACTCTGAGCTGAGTTTGAAGGTTGAGTGTGAGACAGAAGAATAGAGAAGAAAGAGGATACCCTCCCTGGGAGAGGAGGCGGGGGTTCCAGACTGAGACCTTCTCAGGGCACAGTTCTGGTGGGGCAGCAGTAGCAGATTCAACCACCTACAGGGATGGAGTAGGGAGAGGGTGGGTGTCAGACCAGGAGTGCTGCAGCCTGGAGCTGGTGAGCATATGCTCTGTTGGACAGAAACCCAGCTCCAGCCTGTCATTGCCAGACAAGAAATTCGGATCTGTGGTTGCCAGATAGCCTGATTTTTTTCCATAGAAGACAGAAATCTGGATTTCTATGCAAAATCTCATGATTTCTAAATGTTTGCAACAAATCTGAAAAATTTGTAATTCTCTGCAGGTCAAAGAAAGTCCAGCACAGGCTGGATACAACATGTGGAGCACCAGTTAGAATTTCTGCTATTGGAAATGCAGGGAGGCAGAGGGTAGAAAGACAAAGTATTATTTGAATGCTAGGCTAAAAAATTTGGACGTTTTTCTTTTAGAAAGTACAGGGCCATGGGAAGGTGTTGGCCAACACTCCTGCCATTTACAGCGCCCCAAAGGAGAAATAGTGGCAAATCACTTTTTTTACTATAATTTTTTATCATCATAGATTTTCCCTATCTATCTCTTTCAGTAGTTTTGCCTAAAAAATAAACTTTACTCACCACTCTCCTTTGTTTACATGTAAAGGTATGAAAGGCCAAGACTACCCTCTAACTCTTAGCTTTTTTGGGTTTTTTTTGAGGAAGATTAGCCCTGAGCTAACTGCTGCCAATCCTCCTCTTTTCTCTGAGGAAGACTGGCCCTAAGCTAACATCCATGCCCATCTTCCTCTACTTTATATGTGGGACACCTATCACAGCACGTGTGCCAAGCGGTGCCATGTCCGCCACTGGGATCTGAACCGGCGAACCCCGGGCCGCCGAAGTAGAATGTGAGCGCTTGACTGCGGCGCCACCGAGCCAGCCCCCAACTCTTAGTTTAAATGTTTTAGTTTTAAGGGTGGCTCTGTGCCTTTAGTAACTTCATCTGTAAATGGAAAGGCTTAAATTAGATAATATTTAAGGACCCTTCAAATTCTAATATTCTAAGAGCCTATGACTATATATAGAAGAAATTAAATTAATTCATGTGTACTAAAAATATAACGATACATATTTTTTAATCTAGTAGTTTCACAGTTTTCAAAAAGCTTTGCCTTAAACTTAGAAGATTTCATCAACCCTCCTTTTTAAATCCTTTTTTTAAAATTCCCTAAAAGATGATAGACGGAGGCTCACAATTTGGAAATGAGAGCTTGAGCAAAGAATTGAGAAAACAATCTAAGAGCCTGACCTTAAATATTATCTAATTTAAGCCTTTCCATTTACAGATGAAGCTACCAAGGCACAGAGCCACTCTTAAAACAGAAACACCTAAACGAAGAGTTAGGGACTAGGCTTGGGCTTAAAGCTTTTTCCATAGTGCCACTAAGACGTATTAGCTTGCCCATTTTATGGAGAAGAAAGCTGAGGCTTAGACAGGTTAAGCGCCTTTCCCATCACCATGCAAGTATCAGTGGCAGAGCTCGAGTTCCAACCCAAGCTCTAACTCTCCATTACACACAGTATACCCAACGTGCCTCTGGCACTAGAAGCTCAAAGAAAGGACCAAAATATAGTAAGTCCGTAAGCACTCTTAGGGGTGATGGTCTTGGGTTCCTGAGGAGCATTTGATGTATCTTTGGAAGCAGCCTGAAATCCTTTCTGAATCAAGGTTGGCGGGGGTGGAGGGGTGCGGAGAGGTGAGGAGGGGTGAGGAGGGGTGCATGGGAGAGACCAGTATCTGTCCTTACTTGATCCAGTAGGCAATCTTCTAAGTTTCCTGCAGTCAGGGATTTCATGGCTTCTTGGTCACTCCTGAGTGGAGCAGTGATGTCTTGGTTTGTTTCTCACTGGAGGACAACACTTATGAGTAGCTCTCCCAATAATGTTAGTCTCCGGGAATGTGTGTATGGACCAGAGACTTGCCTTCTCAGTTCTTCACTCAGGTTCTTATTCCAAATTGTGAGCATCCATCTGTCATCTTTTGGGGAATTAAAAAAAAAAAAGAATTTAAAAAGAGAGTTGAAATTGAATTTCAGTCCAATCTAATTTTACTCCATTTAGCTCGATTGGCTGGTGCTTTGACCACAAACAGCAATTTTTCAAGCTGTATTTCCCACTTGAATACTTAAAAGTTCCATTCATGACAGAAATGCCCTGTTGTTGGCTTCTTCCCACCTTTTTATGCTCTTGTCCTGACACTAGATGCAGCTTGGAGCTCAGAATCTTATCTCTCCATGTTCTTATCTTGTTGACAGTAAACATCTCTTGCCCTCTAATCCAGAAAATCCCACAGATTGATTGCCCTTCTTTACAATGAAGAAATAGGAAACTGCCAAACAACCAGCCTGGCACCCGTCATTATGGCTACAAACAAGAGATCAGGTCTTGTTCACCAGATCAGGGCACAACAATTTGCATGTGGAAAAGCACACACACACAAACACACAGAGCCATGAACACACACAGGCACAGACACGGAGGCAGGCATAAGTGCACACACACAGGCACACCCAGGGGCAGCAGGACAGGGACCCTCTGTTCACCTGCTCACCTTTGCACGTAATCTCCCTCTTCCCACTTGAAAGCTGGCAATAAAAATAAAGTCAGTGTAAACAGTACCCTTGAGAGTCGAAGAAACACTCACGTCTGGTTTTGCCAGCAAAACCATGTTGGAAAACAGCTCAGGCAGTAAATTCCCAGTCTGGCTGGCTGGGGCTGGTTTGATTACAGAGCAAAAAAAATAATTCACAATAGCCTCATCTCCCTGAAGCTGGTAAACCTCAGAATCTGCTATCAGATGATCTAAACAAATTACAGCGCTTCTGGGAGCCCAGGTTGCTCCTGAGCAATCTTCCAAAGGCAAGTGTCTCTCCAAATCCACCTCTGAGTTCCCAGCAACCGTGCTGGGTGCCTGGCTACTCTGCTTCCTGTCGCTGCAGCATTTGCATATCTTCCCGTACTCAGCCCCATCTGAAAGCCACATCAGAGCCTCTGGCTGCTCTGAGCTCCGCCCACCTTATTAATCCCAGCGTTGAGTCCAGCTTCTACAGATTCCTGTGAATCTGTAATCTGATGTAAATACTGTAAAGCTACCCCTCCTCAATATTGCCTCCATTTTCCATTTTCTTCTATTCGTAATTCTAAATCTTCTTTTGATATCAAATGCTCCCAAATATTTCAGAATCTTCCCTTGGCTTCTCTCTCTCCACTGGTCAATCATTCTAAACTATGGGTTTTATGCAGAAGGAACAAGAGCCCCTCCCTCTGAACTTCTTGCAAGTCACAATTCTCTTTCCACCTCATTTTCAACTTCACCAAAGTCCTCCTCTTTCTCCCACATGCTCCTTTTGGGTTCTTCCTTCTGCTTCCCTATAATCATTAACCTGGGAGGCCCTTTCCTCTGGTAGGGCCTTTCCTATCGTCCTAAGGTTACCCTAGACACCTATCATCAGATTCACAAACTTTCACCGTTCTGTGCCTGTGGCCACCCTACCTCAATTGCCCCAAGTCTGCAGCTGGTCAAAATGTTGAAACTGGAATTCTTCTCTCGTGCTAGGGTCCAGTGACGCTTGTTAGATGTGAGCTGGGATAACAGTGAACAGGGCCAACTGAGGGGCCTGGAAGAAGAAGAAGAAGCATGTGCTCAGGGTGGCTTATCAGAATCTGAGTTTACCTGGTTGCCATACCTGGGAAATAGGAGTGTTGTATAAACACAAGCCGTTCCTCACTCCATGATATAGAGTTCCTTATGGGCAAAGGTTCCAAAATATAGGGCAGTCCCACAAAGACAGGCCCTCAGACAGATCGGCAAAGACAAACTTTCTTGGCAGATATAGATCTCTGGCTAGTTGGATATTGGATCAGCAAATATTTATTGAGCAACAGTCTGCCTGAAGCAGTCTGCTAGGCCACTGAGAGGCATCCAAGTTAACTCAGATTCTTCTCTTTCCTCGGGAAATAAATATCCTCGTTTCTCATGACTCACATCAAATGCAAGTATGAACATATAAACCAGCTTTGGTTCAATTTCTGTTGTGAGGACCAAGAAGTTATTTTTTAAAGTCAGTTTAATAAGGTATTCAAACCCCTAAACATCAACATGAGAAGTCCCGGAAAGGGGACGTCACCCTGGCTCACTAGCAGAGGTGTTCGCTACTGATTGACCTCGTGGCCAAGATGATCATCCTAAGAAAGAGAAGGGTTGGCTCGGTCCACATCAATCCTAGATATACAAATTGGTTAAAGTTCACCTAGGTTACAAACCCTGACATATTCTTTCAAAGATTTCCTTTAATCCTGGGGTGACTCAACTCTGACACCTCAGAGGACCAAACAGAGCTAATTGTCCGTGCTGGGAGGAGGCCCCAGCAGTGAACAAGGCAGGGACCCTGTCTGTTCTGTATCCCCGATGGTCCAGTACCTAACACATAACTGACCCTTAATAAATAGTGGTGAATATTTGATTGCATTAAACATTAAAGTGACATTCTAATAAATATAATATTTTGAGATGCATAAAATCACTTTATAAGTTATAAATTTAATTTCATACGTGCACCTGTGACGTCTTAAATTGCTATCATCTTCTAAAGAAAGGTCTGATATAAAAGAACTTAGCACAGTACCTGGCACAGGATAGGCCCTCACTAAATAATTGTCTTCATACTCTATTTTCTTCCCTGAGAAAAAAGACCCTCCTTTGAATGTATATGAGTAATTCTCCTGCTCTTATCTCATGGGTAATATCTTTCATTGGGTTGGTCTTCACAGTGCCATCAAAAAGCTGGTCTCCTTTCTTCTCCTACCAGAAATGGCAACTGAGAGTTTGAACTTAATCTGTTGTCAGGTTCAGAGGTAGAGGATCCCAAAGTCAAACGCTTACATGAGCCAGGCAGGCAATAAAATAGATCAAGATAGAGTCTACAATGGAGAGGGGTGGGGCCTGTAGTGGATTCAAGAATACATTCCCTATCTAGGCTATCCTAGGTTTTGTGTGTGTGTGTTTTAAGCAATACTGTACTATCAAGTACTGTACAATACAAAAGCCACCTCTACATCCTGTGCTCCTGTCATACTAAAAATCGTTGCAGTTCCCTTGAAAAGTCTTCTCTGGGCCCTTACACAGGCAACGTGCTCTGCTTGTACACCCCCCCCCCCCCCCACCTCATACCCCCTTCATGGGCCAGCTCCTATTTGTCCTCCATGATTCATCTCAGCTGCCACCTGCTCCAGGGACCTTCTCTGATTCTCAAGGCGGAGTAGGGGACTCTATATGGTTCTCCTAGACCACTTGCTGGTTTACTCGTATCTATCACCTACTGTACTGTATGTTCCTTGAAGGCAAAGGCTTACCTTGTTGATCACAGTACTTGGCATAGAGTAAGTTTTCAATAAATATCTGTAGAATGAATGAAAGAATGCTTAAATGAATAAATGAGGGTGGCCCCTTTTCTCATTCCACAATCTAATCTCATCCTACCTATAGGCATAAGATAAAGTGAAAAAAGTACAAGGTACACAATGAGTGAATGCTCATTGGTTCACTTGGGAGCACAATTAACACAAGTAGAAAGGGAGTGAGGAAATGTCCCTTGGTAAAGCTGACTTCAGCCCAGAAAGAGCAGAACAACAGGATACGATGTGTTCATACCTGAAGGAAGCCACTATTCATAGTCTAAAACTGTCAGGACTGCTGAAAAACTGCCCAATAATTAGAAGATGCCCTGTGGATCTTGGAATCTAAACACCCATGTGTCTTTGTAAAAGTCATGGCTCCTTCTGGTCATTTCAGTAAAATGTACGTCATTTCTTAGCTGCAATTATTACCCTAATACATCCAGAAGGAGGAGTAGTCCTCCAACATCAGCCTGAAGGGAGCAAACATGTTTGCTTATTACCAATGACTCTACTACTTGTATAGCCTGTTGTCAAAAGAAACAATGAGAAATAATCAGTGCTGTCAACTCCAGCTTCCTATGCAGCAAAGAGGACCTGTTTTGGTTCCAAAATAGTTTATATTAAATGGTCCCAGTTTGGGCTGGGAGAAAGGAAAGGAGGCCATCTAGATCTGGTTCCATCTCTCTGTGTGTCCACCCATTCAGATTTCCGTGCATTGGAATGTCATTCTGGATCTTCTTCATTCTAATGGCTCATGCCGAAATGCAACCCCAAAACTTATTTTTAACAGAGATCAGTTGCCGATGTAATAAACTCCCACTATGCTTGGATAACACTTCATTTCAAATTAAATGGTAAAAGGTGTTTCCGTTTTCAAATCTCCCTAGCTGGGAAACAGAGCCGTATTTTCATCTGTAACTTTTCCTTAAGTCAGAGTGTAACTCCCTTCCCTCTGCTCTGAGTCATGTGAGTCTGGCGTATTTTTCAGTTGACACCGCCAGGAAAACAGAGAGTTACGAAAGCATTTAAGAAAGAAGTTTTTATTCATTTGTTATACCATGAAGTTAACTGGCAGCCTTACTGAGTTGTTCACCTCAGTTTCTGTGATATCTGAGTTAGGAGGTGGCAGGAAGTAGGTAATGGGAGGAAATGATTGTTGCTAGGTCTTGGTCACACCGGGGACTGCTTTTCCCCCAACTTCTACTCCTCATGACACATGACAAATTTATCTGTTTTTGTTTTTTTTTTTTAAACAGACCCCTAGAGAAGATACAGACACAGAGATCCATGGAACAAAATAGAAAGTCCAGAAATAGACTCACGCAAATACAGCCATTTGATCTTTGACAAAGTGTAAACACAGGTCAGTGGAGGAAAGATGTTTTTTCCAACTAATTGGTATTGGAACAATTGGTCATCCATAGGAAAGGAAATAAACCTCGATATGAAGCTCACACCTTATATAAAGATTAACTCAAAATGGATCATAGGTCTAAATGAGAAACAAAATTATAGAGAATTTAGAAG